GCTCAGGCCACCATGTTCCTTTTTAATAGTGTCAGCAATACTTAAGGCTTCCGATTAGTGTGTGTGTTGTGTGTGTGTGTTAGTCGAGGGGGATGTTTCACACAGCTCTGTGGAGGTGTAACACCCTGCCTGTAGTGTTGTTGTAAAGCACATTAGGAGTGACTGAGGGTGTTTGTTATGGTATCATGATGGCGGTCCAGCACTCAAGGGAAGGTGAGAAGATCTGTGTGTGTGTGTGTGTGTGTGTGTGTGTGTGTGTGTGTGTGTGTGTGTGTGTGTGTGTGTGTATGCATGTTTCTGTGTGTGTGTGGTCCGAACAGTGGCCAGCACAGCTTGCTGTCTTTCAGTTCTTGCAGCATCCAGCTATCCACCTGTGTGCGTCCATGAATTCTTGGACCGAGTCTTGGACGCTACACATGCGTCTTCGCCTTAATGCCGAAGTTTGATAAATTAAAAGTCCACTCAGACGCGTGTTTAACTTATTGTGACTCCACTTGGAACTTTAACCTTCAGAGTTTTGCACTTAAAGGCTGTTTCAATATTTATCTGCTGAAGGGGCAAAAGTTTGTCTTTCCTAAAATCCAAGCATGATTTTCTCTGATTTCATTGCAGTGTGATGTAGGAAGTTAACATTTCCAGTTTCATTAGAGGAAAGAAAGAGGAAGGCTACTTAATATTAAAAAAATCTGGACAGACTGGACAGAGCAATCGGGCCCATTTAGGGTGAGTGTGTGAAATTTAGTGTAGCTTGATTGAATTTACGGGGACTTTTGGGCCTTCGTGGAGATTCGTGCTCCCCTGGATGCCATTCTAGTTTGGAAGAGAAACCAAAAGGGAACTACTCAACTTCCACCTGCTCTACTCGTCTTAGTCGTGCGTGTGCATGATTTTCCTGTGAAATTAGGGATTATTACTCACATTTTGGGTGCATTCACTTTTAGTTTTACCTCTGTTTAAAGTGTGACTGGGTAGTCTGATGGCTCGTTAACTGTACGCTTTATTGTCTGATTGTTAATTTCTTGACCTGTTGGGCTTTGTTCAGCCGTTGTCCCAGACCTCAGCACAATATCATCATTACAAATGGCCAAAAACCACCAAAATAAGAGCCAAGTTGTAATATCTGTAAACGAAACCCAAGAGTAGCCAGAATGTTTTGGTTCATGAGCCATCTATATGAATAAATTAAATCTGTTTACCACTTCCCTGCGACTTGACAGCTCAGCTGAGAGACTGTGTAAAGCGGCGAGGGTTCATGATCCATTTGTTCTGCTGTGATGGTGGGATAAAGCTAATCATTGTCTACTCTTCTCCCCCTCAGACTGTTTTTATCCCGCCGAGCAGAGGCACACAACTCATCTACGTTACATTAACAGGCTGGAAGCTCTCTTTGAAGACGCGGGGCTGAAATAATGTTTATATTCCAAACTGTGCGATTGTGACAGTTCAAAAAGCGATCCCTCTTACTTACCGGAGATATTGTTGCGCTTTAGTGTCTCCATTCGACAATATTTAGCATCACCATCTTCCAGTCCTCGCCGTGGCACTGTTTTGTCGTCTAATTAAATCCGCGGCCCTTTTCAAGGTACACTTATGTAACATGAGTACGTAATGAGACAAACACGGACCCCGCCTGATGGGAGATGGTCCCGTCCTCCGCGGGGGGCCGCGTGGAAACAAAGCTTTTAAAGTGGTGGTACAGGGGGGAAGAAAAACATTGTTTTACCCCAGAGGTGGACTGATAGCTCTGTGAAAAGCCCATTTGAAGAGGTAGGCCTCATCTGTCACTGGGCTATGGAGGAGGCAGCCATGCAGAAGCCCCCTGATTATAAAGAGATAATTTCATCCAATCCTCCGGTGGTGCTCCATCGCCTTGCCGCCATACTCCACTGCCTTTCATATTTGTTCCCAGCCTGCATCTCCTCACCCGTTTCGTTTTATTACAGCTCCCACTCAATACATATATTTTAGCTCCCCCTTGAATAGGGAAGGCGAGCAAGTCTCCCTCCTCCTTCCCTCCCCCCGCCCACCTTCACTCCCCCCGTGTGCCTTTTGTTGTGCAGGAATCCGCAGCCCTCAACTTGTTGTGTAACGCCTGCCGTGCAATTTGCAGTAAATTAAGCTCAAGCAATGCACGTATCTGCGTCAACCCCCCCCCACACACACACACACACACACACACACTTTTCTGGGGGTAACTAGCTGAATCACAGCAGATAAGTTCACATAAGGTAATGGTGCAGAGAAAATAATAAATGATAACATCTGCAAGATTAAAAAAAAAAAAGAGCAAGTAAATAGGGGCAGGCTCATAATTGCATCTGCTGTCATATCTCCACAGCATTGTGGGTTTAATCTTTAATTTGGCTCTTGTTAGTCATTAAAGCTTTAACAAAGGACTAATGTTTGATTAGAACAAGTGAAATTAAATTAAATTACTCCAGATCTATGTCATGTCATACTTGAAATGATCTTTAAAGTGTGTAGGCAGTGTGTGGAGGTCAGAAATATTGTGTGCTCAACAGAGGAGGTGAATGGCAGCCCAGCCTCTTTCTTTCCCCCTCATTTTAACTCACTGTTGGAGGCAAGAGAAATGACATCGGGAGAGAAAAAGAGGGAGAGAGAGAGCAAAGGGAAAGGAAGGGCAGGAGGGCGGAGAGCCGGGGAGAGAGCAGGTCGACTCGCTCATCAATAACCACAAGGTCAGACAGGCAGTGCCGGGCTGAGTGGGCCCTGTTAGGAAGCAGCAGCTGAGGATTTGTAGAGCTTGTAAAGGCTTAAAGCAACACCGCTCCGCCTTCTTTGTGCCACTAGCCAGGCCTTTGAAGGGCCAGGGAGACACCTGCTGGTGACTGAGGGGCACAGTGGTGCGGGGCCACCCACGCCAAGGACCGGCTCAGTATCAGCTGGCACAGGGAGCAGAGTGAGGGCAGTGTTACAGCAGCAAACACAAAAGTCAGGATATTAATGCAGAGGATGAAGCTTTTTCTACTGTGTGACATGCAGGGTATCTTCACAGGAAAGTTTTTCTTTTTATGCTTGTTTTAGTCATGTGAGTGCATTTTCTGTGTTATTACCTCCGCCAAGGTGGTTTCGTTTTCACCCCGGTCCATTTTTTTGTTATCAGGGTCCAGGATCAAGGAATATTTCATGGATCCTGATGAAAACAACCAGGCATGTTTTGGGGACTGATATTTAGGATTTTGTGTGATTTGGTGCAGATTCAAATAAAAATGTGGATCAAGTGAATCTAAATATGATTTCATAAGGGGGCTGATGGACCTTGGCAGAGGTATGAACAATCTGAGCACCATTCGGTTTTTCTTTATTATATTGTGACAACTAGGTCCATTATATATATAATATTTATATATTTACATACATTGGCAAAAGCAGTAAAGAGGTTTCACACATAATTGATCTAACTCAGATTTGTAGTTTATCAAGTATTTGTCATTCTCTGCTCATCAAGATTCAAAAGAAATAATAATGGATCATTATCGACTGATTATTGACTGATACCTCAACCCACATGGCCAGACTTCTCTTTAGTTTCCAAAGTTTTCCTACGTGCGACACTTCAAACACATCAACAAACACGTGCTTCTCATCTGCAAAGAAAAACTCCTCCGACATCTCTTTACCTCTCTTTTTTTTAATGAGCTTTCTAATTTATGGAGAGGAATGCACTAGTGTGCCCTTCTCTCCACTCAAGTAACGGCATGAGCAGCTCCAATAGGTAGCATAAAAGCTCTTTAGCTGTCTAGTGGAGTAGATTACTGGCCCTGCCGTTAAATCCAGCTAGAGACCCCTAAGTGAGTATTATCAGTGTGGTGCAGCATGCTGCCTCCTCTCTCTTGCTCCCTCTCTCTTTTCCTCATCTCACCGGTACTTTGTGCAGTGAAATTTCTCACTGTGTAATGGTAATAGAGAAAGATGGCGTGAGGGTTGGAGGGGTCTGAGTGATGGGAGGGGGGGGGTGAGACGAGGCTCTGCAGGAGGAGATGCCTTTGCAGTAGCGTAAAAGGAAAGATTGAGACAGGATGAGATGGAGGGGGGAGTGTGGCGGGGAGGAGACGGGTGAAGATGGAGGGGTATGTCTCAAACCACCACCCGTGCATGTGCCTATTAATTCACTCACCCCCTTCACTTGGAGCTGCAGGTCACTGTGAGTTATAGCCCACTGGTATTTATTCGACGTCGAACGCAACATTAAATCAGCCCCCCGCGGGCAAAATTGATAACCTTTAATGTAGCTTGTAATACTTTTTAACTTGTGATAATGTTATGTAGCGTGTCACACCACAGTCCCATTGTTTGCCTTCCCTGAAAAATTATACCTCTGGAAAAAAAAAGAGGAGAGAAAGAGGTTTTCCATAAGCCGCTGCTCCAAAATCAATAGTGCGATGTAAGGGGTTTTGCTCAAGGAACTCTTGTGTTGCTGGAGAGCAATGGAAGGATCAGGAAGGGGGGGAGGAATGAAATGTAGAGCATGTCTGGGCCCAGGGTACAGATAATTGTTAACCACAGATGACATAATCGCCAAGTAATGTAAACAGCGAATCACATGCCAAGTTAATGTTCTCACAGGCCAGGGTGGAATTTTGCACATTGTTTTCTGAGGTAACGTTGACAAGACTGTTTTTTGCTCTTTTACGATGAGTCACTGTGTGTGTGTCGTCATCGCTGGTCATTGTCACCCTGAGGTGCTTTAAACGGGGTCAGACATCTTCTCTAAGTTGCCCAGTGTGTCCTCGGCGAAGGTGTGTTCCGCCGTTCAGGGCAACCGCCAGGGCTTGTTAAGGGTGTCAGAGGCGCTGAGAGAAATGTCATCCTTCGGGCTCTCTGAGGTGCTTGTCACCTGCCAAATCAATATCTCGGCTCACAGCAACACACACACACACACGTATAGACACACTAACTGCAATATCCTGGTGGTGATGGGATTGGCAGCTTCCCTGTGAAGAGTCGAGCTTTAACACGTGTCTGTATTTCTGTTTCAGAGCGCTCCAGTTTAATGGCTGGCAGGTAGAGGCCAAAGAGGGACAATCATCATGAACTCTATTCCGTCGATGGACAGACACATACAGCAGACCAATGACCGTCTGCTGTGTATCAAACAGGTGAGACTTTCTTGCACCTTCTTCATTGTTTAACATTTATATTTGACAGTTTATATAAGGGGTTTACATATATTTTACATGAGGAATAAAAGCTAAGCCAAGCCTAATATATGTAATATAGAATACACCGAATTAGAAAATAGTAAAATACATTAACACTTTGTAAAGTTAAATCTTGAGGTGTAAACTTTATACTGTTACTCCTCCATTCATATATGTCAGGGGATTACATCAAGCCTGACAATAATGTATTTTCTATCATATTTATTGTATTTAAAGCAAGAAACTGCCAAACAGCACAATGCATAAATCAGATTCACCTGGAACAGCTGCAATACAATGTTAAAACGGTGCTTACAGGTTTAAAAACCAATAATTTATCTCTGGAAAAAACACTTAATTAATCAGATAAACTGTAGAAAACTGGGTTAAATCAGGTAAAATACACAGGTTTGCTATTTTAACCTGAGGTCTCTTGACCGTAGTAAGCATTGTGACGTAAACATAGATTATGTACAGTGTTGATGTCTGGCATCAAGGCTCTGACCTCCTCACGCCCCAGCACAGCAGGATGTGATGATGATAACTTGCCCCCAAGGAGAACACGGAGCTTATAGGTGGATGCTGGGGTGGAGATGAAATGTTAAATAAACAGCCGCAGTAGGTGATGGTTGTGTGGAGAGAGAGAGCAGAGCAATTAGTTCATAGATATTAGTGTTGCCTCCAACAGAAGGCTGGAGTTTACAACGAGTTTACAACCATAAGTGGCTCTCAACTTTAAAGTGATTATAGTTTTTACTTTTTAAATCCAGTTTGTGTATCTACAGTGGATTGCGAATAAAATTACAAGCTCCTGTGTTGCCTTTGTGGTTATTGATGCAATTTGACATTTCATGTTGCCATTTTCTCAAATGGAAATTTGAGTCATTAGCATTTTTGTTAAATGAGAAGTGTTGGAAAACAACAATGTGTTTCATTGTCCTGGTTTGTGCTTGCACTCATGTACACACACACAATTCTGGCCCTGAATGTGTCTACGTCTTCCTGTTGACTAATCTGTTCAGTCCTATTATCAGGCCTGTGGTGTGACTCAGGTTTCTGACTGGGGTCAAAGAGCAGAGGCTCCCCTCCCTCCCCATTCATCACTCTTCTTTCTCCCACCACCGCTGCTGACTCCCAGTGAGTCCTTTTGTTCTCCTCTCGCCACCATTTACTGCAAGACCAATCTCTGGCAGAATTAAACAGACATACTTGCGTAACCTCGGGCTACAGGGCCCTGCCTTTGATCTCTCCTTTTTAACTGACGGCCCGTTTTGTTTCTGGGCTCCGCGCTGAGGTCCACCTCCTGAGAAGAACATCACAAGGCCTTGGGGAAAGTATTCAGGGCCTTGCACTTAAGACGCAAGTGTGGACGTGGCAAATTGTTTTACCCTCGGCAGGGAGTTCCCAGCTATTACTGAGAAAGAGACACGGTGAGGCCGATAGACAGGCCGAGTGTTTGGGGAGCAAACAGAGGGAGGCCTCTGTGTGGATAGTTTGATGTTCTTAAGTAATAAGATGGAGACAGGTACACGCTCCCCGACTTGTTACCTACTTTACAATATTTACTAGAAGGGCACTCGGAGAGCCCATAGCCCCGCCAAAGCTGATTGGCTTGTATTAAGATCAGATACATGAACCGTTTACACAGAAATGTACTGCAAACTGCTTACATTAAACACGGGGTAAATATCCAGTCTCTGATTTTGTTGAAAGGAATTTGTTATCATACAGTAACTGAATGATCACTCCCCCCCAATATGATCAGTTTGTCATCAAATCTGTATTATTATCTGAAACCACACAAAATTTAAACTGTTCATAGATGTTTAATTTCATTCAGATCTTTGCTTTATTTCTTGAGAAATCCTTAAAAAATGTTGAAAACACCTCAATCTAACAATATTTCCTGGATCACTCCCTTTATCGAGATCCTCTCCAAAAGTTTTTGAGTTCATTCTTGGCTCATACCCCACCTTTCCACCAGGTTTCAAGAAAATCATTTTGGTAGTTTTTGTGTAATCGTACTAACAGACCTTGGCGGAGGTTAGTATTCAATGACATCATTCAGTCATCTGTTGGGTGAACTTGCATCCCTTGACTGTATTGCCCGTACCTGATTGGTTATATTAAAGGAAGTTCACAGGACAAGTTAAGAGACCCACAAGTGTAAACCCTTCAAATGTCGCAGGGTTAAACGTATTAACCCCACAAGGCAAAAATTTAAACAAACACATCCCAGTGTTAGCGATCGAGGGAGCAGCACATGGGTAAACATGGCAATTAGAGAGATCCATGGCATACAAGGAGGCCTCCAGTCCATCTAATAAATGGTTAAGCATCGGGTCATTTCAAACCAACCAGTAACAGCCAGCACCCTGCTAATAGAGGCAGCTTTGTGCCGCAGACAATCAGGGTTTGGAAGACCCGCATAATAAATACCATTTATGTCCTGCCAATTAGACTAGCAGTGAGCCCATTCAGCCGGCCGTCTATTCTCCTCCCCGCACACAAAGATGATCATCAGGGGAGATCAGAACAATTAACTCACTATCTTCTCCCCCTGCTCCCCATTGTCCAATATCCAAGCCATTAAAATAATTAAGAAAATATTGTAAACCAATCCAGCTGTTTGCTTTAATTGAAAGTGTGCGCACGCTGAAATTTGGCATCTCAAAGGCGGCGTGGACATGGAGCAGGAATATAAATGAAGGCTCCTCCATTGTGTTGTTGTTTTCTGGGAGATGTGACATGTCTGTCTGAATACTCGCAGCCAGTGCGGCGGACAGGGGAACAAATTGATTTTGTTGCTCAAATGATAAATTACTGCTTAGCGCCATGATAAAGTGGAGGAAATTGGAATCCGTCCGGCCTGATTGAATCCCAGGTTGAAAGTAAAATCTCAAAATCATTATGGTGGTGATTTTCAAATCACTGTCTTGTTGTGAAATTGGGGTAATTAGATTTTTAAACTATAACTTCACAAATCTCTTCATTACCTATGAAAACTATTGTCTCAAGCATGGTTATTTTGGGGGTCGGGGCTGAAAAGTTTGGGAACCTCTGGATTAGTTGATTCATAAATTATGAACTGACAATAATTGACTTCATAATTGATCGTTTTAGTCATTTATGGAGCAAAAAAGCTTCTGCAGTATGATGACGTGTTGTTTTGTTGCTGTTTGGCAAACAATTCCAATAGCTTTTGTTTCCTTGTGCTGTGTGGAACTGCTGCTTAAAACCTCAAGGAAAGACTTAGTATCTGAAAAAAAAAAAAAAAAAAAAGTCATACAGCAAAATAGATACTTGTTTCACCTCCAAACAAAGATTTTCAAAAAGTGATACATAAAAAAACTGTTATCTGATTTCACCCCCAGCACACAGCTCCTCAGTGGCAGTTTGTTTTCCGCTCGCGTCCTAGAATTGCACCGTTGTGAACACTTTGGGGAAGATGGGTTCTGTGATACTGCTGGTATCTATTTCAGAGGCAGTAGTTTTCCTCTGAGTGCGGGGAAGCCAGTTCGCTGTCAGACCCTCAGCTCGGAGTGATACGCACCGGGCTTTGGCGGAAACAGTGAACTCTCCTTTCGCTGCAGGAGCACTTCCTCAAACTGAGTGTCAATATTTCAAAATAAACTGGAAGACAACTGCAGTCTCTTAGCTCCTGCACTGGATATGCAGCTGTTTCTGTCAACCACTGTTTTGCTTCTGGGTTAATTGTCTCCATTAATATGTTTTCAGTGCTCTGGGGCATCAGTGAATGTAGAACAACAGCAACAGCAGCGAAACCAAAAAAGCTGTGATTCTGAAAGGAAAGGGAGACTCTGCCAGATCGCGTGCGCTGTCACATTCAGTTCCTCTGCAGATGTGCAGATCAAGTTGTTTCCAGACGTGACTACACTGGATGATTGTATCTAAAGAAAGCTGTATTCTCAGGACGCTGAAAGTCCCGTCCGCCTTTGTTTCCCTCAAACTGGGCCGAGCTTTAACTGGAGTGTAAATGTTGGAGGATCGCTCTCACCCGGGGGATGATGACAGGGGGGGGGGTGAGGGCTCTCTTGGCCACTAGTTTAGGTTTGATTGGTGGGTTTTGGCCAGAGAAGGGTGAACATCTGTGGCATGACAGTGCCAAGCTCTCCCTGTGACAGCCACACTGGTGGGACCAATTGTTCCGAGTGCAAAGAACAGTAATCACTTCAAGCGCAAATGGTGGTGGTGTATTTTTTTTTTTTATCTCCCCTCTTTATACTCTCCCTTTTCCTCCCCCATCACATCCTCTGTGCACTGATTTCGTGTGTTGTCTCGCTTCCAGACTCATCTAAATTTAGCATCTGTGGATGTCTGTGCTTCTCCGGGAGACTTTATCCACCAGTAGAATTTAAATGCTCAGCAGCGCCACCACGTCTCACCCGAGTCTCCCCTAACAAAGACGCGTCGGGCGAGTGGGGAACAGTCTCGGACAGAGCATGAAATAAACAAGACTGGTTTCATCCGGCCTCTGTCAAACACTGGCTTTGTAAATTGATATGAAAGCTGCCTCACCAAATCCTGACCTCTGCTGCCCCCTAAAGAGCAAACAAGAATAAAGCAGTGCGAGACAGCAACTGTACAGCTGTCACTTCCTCTTCTCCTTTCTTCCCTGACAGTGAAATCAAAGCACACAGATGCGTTAAGAAGGCAGCCATTCACTTCAAGCTGACAAACCTCTCTGTTTACCTTTGATGCCGTGGAGTGGGAGGCCATTTGTGCCTGGTTTACACAAGTGCACTACAAAGGCTCGTGTGCATAATCTCTCCGAAGGCAACAGATTACTGCGGAGTGGAGGTGGTGCGTCCGCTCTGCTGAAATGATTCAGGTTTGAAAGCTTTTAGAGAAGATCAGTGACCAGCAGCGAGTCCGACGTGGCGAGCCGGAGAGCTCTATTTTTCTGTTTTCCTGTGCTGCTCGACAGCAAGGTAGACAACAGGGTTGGTGAGTGGGCTGCTGGCTCCGGTCGGGGAATGAATGCCATAAACGGGTGCCTGTGGGTCAAGGAGGCTGTTGTCAGATAAAGTCACAGCACAGCTCAGGGCCGGCTGCTGAAATCAGGGCTTCCTCTGCTATTCATGCCGTCACACAAGGAGATTTATTGCACTCGGTGGCAAGGCAGTGCTACACAAACCTGGGGAGGGGGAGGCATGAGACTAATGGGGGACATAACCCCTCAGCCCAGAGCATTAATACTTAAAAACTCCAGCAAAAGAAATCCGAAGTGTGATACGTACAATTTGGGAAATGTGGTCGTGAAAATGCTGTTTTCTTTTAAGACACTCTGAGTGGTTTTAATTATTCATCATGCTGTTGCTGTGGCTCCTCTGTTGAGGAAAACTAATGTTTTCTATCACTATCCATTCATCTATTTTATATCACTTACCCGGATTTCAGCAAAACTAAGCAGGTAGTCCAACCTTATCCTCCATTTAGAGCGAAAGGCTCTAAATCCTTTCAATTTAGAAAAAATGTTTTAAAGCAGGTGTAAAACTTTCAATTAAAGGAAACTAAAGTTTCAAATCCCCGTAATGATGAAATGATGCTCTGTCTAAACTGTCATTTAACCAAGTGAAGACAATAACAAGTAAAGTTATCTTAGCTCTTTTGCCTAAATTTTATGCACAACATTGTTTCAATCTTTCAACAGTGTTTATTACTTTATTTATTCATAGGAAGTACAGTTCCTGTACATAAATAGAAGTTATATAATTAAATGGGTTGTTTACAGATATCTTTATTTATTTGTCGTGCATTCAGACTTACATATATACATGTTATTAAAATCCATTATCCACAAATAAATGAATGAATATCTCTATTCTGTGTCTTTGTGACTCTTGAAAGTTTCTTGACTCCCAATCTTTTCCCTTTTCTTCCTTCCAGCACTTACAAAATCCAGCAAATTTCCAAACAGCAGCTACTGAGCTGCTGGACTGGTGCGGTGACCCTCGAGCCTTCCAGCGCCCCTTTGAGCAAAGCCTGATGGGATGCCTAACGGTAAGTTGCCAACCCCCCCCCCCCTTTTGCAGCGTCATACTCACAGGTTCAAGGACAAGGAGAGGGGCTGATAAAACAACTGCTGCAGTGGCTCCTACTCCCTCAGGGATACAAGAGAAGTGAAGTTTAGCAGCCCGATCTTCACTGAGGTCACTGGTAAACAAAAAGCATTTCAGTCGGCAGAAACTGCTGCGGTTCAGTCACCTTTTAGAGTCTTCAGTTACAGTTTGTGCTGCGGCTCATGAAACAGACTGGAACTGGAGGACAAGTGCAATAACGTCCTCAAACCACAAAGCAATCAGTGCTTATGAGTTTCAAAGCCTTTAATTCCCCAACTAAAAATGTCTGGGGGCCTTTGATTAATTGAATAAGTAGTATCCCATGACATTCAAAAAATGTGACTCTTTTCCAATGTATACTGTAAACAAAGACAAGATTTTGGCCTAAATGGAAACAGGCAGTAATCTGCAAGATGGTTTGTATATTTTGACAAGATTTAATCAGACACAAGAGGGCAGAGCTGTGTAACACCCCACCAGAACCCTCTTTTGCATGTCAAACGCTAAACCCCCTGTAGAGTTGGGAGGTTGCCCTGAAAAGCTTGTAGCTTGTTCTTTTGTGAAGGTCGACAGCTGTCAGCGTAGATCCAGCGATATCAAAATGTCTGAACAAACTTCCCAACCATTTTTAATTGTGTCTCACTTTGAATCATAAACCCACCGACATCAATACCGATCTTTTTAAACTAAAACAGCTGGATGCAGCTACTAATGGAAATTGTCATATTATATATTTTGGTATATATTTTTATAGCCCTATGGTCTATGTTTCAACCCTACACATAGAGAGCAGGTTCTAAATTGATTTTTTACTCAATGGAGTATTCCTCTAATACTGTCAGTGTGAACAGTGGGGGGGGGTACTAACTGGAGGAATTTGTCTCCATTCTGATTTTGGGCCAGAGACAGAGCAGTCAGTCAGCAGCACAATGAATGGATGTGTCACTCACCTGTCACCCTGCTTGGGCCAAACTTAACATGTTCATTGTCATATTGCCTCCAGCAGTAGATAAGAGATACATAAAGCTGCTGCTGGGTGTGATTTGTTGCCCCTGCGGAGCAAACGTGGCTCCACCAGGCGACGGGACCCAAGAGATTTGTGCTCGGGCACCTCAGTGAAACCACAGCGACACATCCCTCCAGTGATTGTTTGTGTTGCTTCTTTAATGTGCAGCAGCAGGTGACTTTTCCTCCATTCTGCCAATTCAATTTGTTTCCCGCTGTGAAAATCTCAAGGCTTTTCCTTTTCGTATAGACCTGAGCCTGAACTGCAGGGAGGCTGGAGAAGCTGTGTGTTTGTGAAATTATCTGGTCCCTGGTCAACTTGCATGTTTCTATCTCAGTGCTGCAGCATTAATGATATCAGACACGTTACACTGCAGAAACATAATCTACAGGTATTTTTCCTTCGAGAGCAATTGGCTGTGATACCAAATACATCTTTATGCAAGACAATTGCAGTTATGTTATCAAGGCCCACTTTACATTAAATTATTATACTTCTTTCAAAGTTAATGGTCTTTATTTTTTCCTAATTAGTTGTTCATTCTATTTTTAAGCTAAGCTATAGCCCACGAGTAACTAAACATGGATGTTACATGAAGATGCCTCTGTGTCTGTGAAGAGAAAACAAGGCAACTTTGGGTATTTCCCAAAAATGTGCCCAAGTTTACCAGCATGTTGCCTCCTTAATTAAGCCAAATAAAGCTTAATAAGTAGCCGAGTAACATGTCTTACATGTTAAGTGCATGGGTAACAACATCAGCTTTGACTTTTCTGGTATTCTGAGTGTGGTAGTGTGCTAAAACTAGACATTATTCTGCCCAGGTTCAGCCTCTGATATTGGTTATAGACTTGTTTTAACTGCCTTGTCTTAAGGTCAGAAAATGTTTAGTGGCCAGATTTTTATGTAAGTTTCATGAAATAAATATAATTTTATTCATCTTGGGGTCACATTTTTTAGGAACGGCAAAGCTTTTTTTACGATGAAAAATAAACAAGTCTGGTTTCAAAACTTTGCAGTGCACATTCAGATGATCAGATTTGACAAATGAATGAGACGTTGAATATAAAGGCACATGTTTGCCTCCACTGGCTTTGTACAATTTAAGTCCTGAAATTAGTGTTGTTCTTAGACTGGAATTACCATTTAGCAAAATGTGCCTCACAAGTTTAGATTCTAATTAGGCAGCCTGTACTCGTATATCTTCCTCTTAATGGGTAATTCCTATAAATAAAGGCCAGTTATATACACACTCTGTTTTGGTGTCACGTCAAGACTATACTTACAGAAGATAATGATATGGTGCAGGCAGCAGTGTTCAGCTGTACTACCTCAGGGCTTGTCTTGAACTTCGGAGTATGACAGCAGGATCACGGCTATGAAAAGCCAGGCAAGCAGAAGAATCTGTGTGTAGTGAGGCCTGTTAGTCCACGCAGACCTCAGTATCTCCTGAAGGTCAAAACAATTTAAGGGGGTCCCTTTGAGCTGATAATGGCGATGGTAAATCAAAGCAACTTGCGCCACATAAGGGTGATTTACATTGCCTCTTATGGCATGTGGATGTTTCGCTTAATGTTTCCTCTCAGTGGGCATCGATGCACTGGAGGCCACATTTTCTTCTCATCTTTCTGTCTACAGACTCATATGGAAGTGATCAACTTGTAGCGACTTTATCCTTTAAGTTCAAATGGATGTTGGGTGCTGCCAAAAAAACACATCACTTCCCTCATACTGTCCGTCGCTGCAGCTCCTCTTTTCAGCCTCTGTCTGAAATACTTGTTTTTAGCTCTATTCTCTTCAAGGCCACCTGACCCACTTTACCTGACTTTGAGGGCATCCCAGAGTAGCCCAAACCTCTGGGGAATCATGATTTCACCATTATTGGCCAAACTACTAAGGAGCTGTTTCAGGACCAGTTTTCCCTTTATTGCAGACTTAGTGCTTTTTAACTTTGCAGAACTTACACAAAAAAACTATATGAGACACTAGAGGGAAGAAACCTGAAGCATAATGTCTCCTTTAACTGTTAATGGGTCTCTTTTGATCCTCTTCTTTTAGGACACGAAGAATGTTAAGATAAAAACAGTTTACGATAAAATTTGGCCACAAATCCTTAAAGCATCACGTCCTATAATAATATCCTCATTCAACCCTACATTTATTGAACTCTTGTTCGATTATTGGCCTTTCGTTTATGTCTAAGTCTGTGATGTCAGGTACAAAGATTTTGTTTAGTAGTTATTTCATCAGACCATAGTAGTAGTAGTATCTGACACTGTCCTCGTTGTCATTGTGTTCAGGTGGTCAGCCGCGTAGCAGCGCAGCAGGGCTTCGACTTGGACCTGGGCTATCGGCTCCTGGCTGTGTGCGCTGCCAACAGGGACAAGTTCACTCCAAAATCAGCAGGTAAGACCTGAGTTTTCTCCACCGCCATCTCAGGCCATCTGGCCATGCTGGCCCGTCCAGGCTCAAAGTTCCTGTCTTCATTTTTTGGCAGCTTTTCATGATACCTACCTATTGCCACTAGACTGTAGAAGATCCTGTTGCTCCAGAGAAGGAGACTCAACTGTTTTGGACAGCATTTCAAATGGTCACTGACATGTTTGAATTCATGTCTTATATTTTAACTTGATCATTTATTAGTTTCTTTGATTCGAAGTCTTCGATTGCCCTCCAAATGATAAACAGTCCAACTCTATTCTATCTCTATTCTTTCTTGGTTTTCAGCAAAAATAACAATGCAAAATACCTTCTCCTTTCTCAACATCACTGGACATTAAGCATCACCCTCTAAAATCTGCATAAACGTTCACTTCTTCATGTCACATCTCACGTCCAAACTTGTTCAATGTGAGAATTACATCTATAATTTCTTTCTCCAGAGATTTAGACAAAGGAAAGTCCATACAGCAGAATATTCCTTTTGTCACACCAAACCAAATCTACTGTATCAGGGATATGGGAGTTCCTGTTTGCATACGTCTCCGTCATCTCTGTACACTGCTAGATTATTAGGAAAGATGTGGATGAGTAATGTTGTTATCGAGCTAGTGAAGAAGCCTGCTGAGGTGCGGTGAGAATGAAGACGTATAGCCTGTCAGCAGCTCGGAAGATAAGAGGAATATTTTGGGCTCTTTTCCGGTTTTTGATCGGTGGTCTCCACCTGTCTTTGGTTACAAAGAAAACGGGGGTTGCGCAATTGCTTCTGTGCGCTCGGCCTTTCTCCACTGAGCAGTCTGTAGTCGACTAGGACATGAAAGTCCGAGCCACATATTGTTTGAATTTGCACTTGTGTGTGCTTTTTCTGATTTATGGAGTTCATGGATTTATATGTGGTTATATTAGCCTTCAAATCATGCAATGTCAGTCTTGTGTCAGCCACAGGAGGGGAATCGTTCTCTTGCCTGCAATTAATTTACACCGCCAAATGTTCTAATTCTACTTAATCCTAAATCAAATCTCAGGCTCTACTTTATGGGCTTAGATAAGATTGCCAATTGATTCTCTGTCTGGATAATTTCCTGTAACAGTAGTCATTTGGAAAGCAGCAAGTACTCGAGTCTAGGCAGGATCCCAAAGTGCATTTCATGGACAATTATGTACCTGCATATGCATAAATGTTATGAGAGGAGAGGCCTTTAAAGAGAGAGAGAGAGGGTCAGTGGAAACCACTGCGGGGGGAACTCTCCTGTGCAACTCCCAGAAGCTCTCTAGAGCAGAGGCCCGAGTTGAGGAGGTTGTTAAGATGGAGAGAAAGCCCCTCTCTGGCTGCCAAGGGAGATGGCTCTTAAACAACACTCCCGTCGGGCCCCCCCTGCTCCCCGACATCCAGCGGGGCTTTTGCCGAGCAACGGGGGAAGGGAGCAAGTCACATGATGGCGGGAGCAGGTCAGCCATCTAACACCAGAGACAGACGGTTCTGTGTCTGCCGTTCACTGAAAGATCCAAAAAGAAATCTGAGATGCTACATTTGGTCTGTGTACAATGAATAATGTGAATTTTATGTTGAAATAAAGTACAGTGTCATCTGCAGAGGGATAATTCAATTGGCCACATGTCACTTGTTTTCCTGAACGTGATTCAAGATGATGTTCAAATTTGCTTTTTCATGGAGTGTGATAGGCCTGTTGTGGATAAAGACAGAAAGAAAATGTTCCACCTTATATTTTCTCCTTATCTTTGCTAACAGAGGCAGAATAAGCATCCAGGGAGAAATTTAAACCAAATCTCTTCCTATTCCGTCACATCATGCATCTTGTAATTTGCTCTGAAAACCTACGTATGAAGTTGGGGCAGGGGGTAAAAACAGGGAAAAGGGGAGAGCTATGGTGGTTTGTGAGCAGCGCCGCCAGCAACACAGAGGACATCAGGTCAATGGATGAGCGCTAATAAGTAAATCAGATTTAGTGTCCCATTTTAACCAGGCCCTCACTTGTCTTGGCACTGACGCACGGTGCGGTGGAACTACTATGTTTCTGTTATGTCATCTGAATTCCTCTGTGGAGGATTTCAGCAGGAGGAAATCAATGTTCACAGTCAACTTACGGCTGAAACAGGTTGTAACTTTGACAAATTGATTCATTGTGAAGTGCTTCCAACAGTTTAAGGTATTAGTTTGTAGGAAAAAACATTATTACGGCAAAAGAAACAGACCTTGATCCTAATGATACCACTAATGTGTATTTTTATCATTATTACCGCCTATTGATTCTATCAGTCAGCAAACGTATGTATCTGTATTTCAGCAGAGTGAGCACTTTAGCAGTTTAGATGTTTGTTGTGCGTTAATGGCGTTGTATTAAATTCTCCTCCAGGAAACTGGAAACAGAAAACTCTCCACACACATTGTGATTCAGTGAGTTGTACTACTGATCTCTTTAATTGATTTACTCAGGGGTTTGGCCAGTTGTAGTCCTCTTGGCTTTTCTTTTTTTGTAAGCGGCCCTCGCTGCTCAGGCAGACCTAAAGGGGGGGTGGGGCATCTGTCTGCTAGTAGTGACCTCTTTGTGAATGAGATTAGCCTGCTCTATTAATCTGCGATTACTTGGAACTGTCTTACCGCAGGGCAGAGCCACGCACGTACAGAGCATCAAAGCACGGGGATCACACTCCCGGTGTGGATAAACTCAGCCCGTCGCTCTTCCACCAAAACCATTCTTTCTCCATCGCAGAGTAAATTACAAGCCCTGTAAGGCCTGTTCCATCAGTGTTGCACCCCTCCTGCTCCTGCAGTGGTTCAGTCTGGTTCTAGAGCGTCGACAAAATGCTTGATCAGGATTTTTTACCCCAAGAGGGTCACAGTAGCACATTCCCAATTGTTTGCGCTTCAGCAAACTCTTGGAATTCCTCAGCTCCAAAGAGTGAAAGGAAGCACCGACTAATAAAGAGAAAGGGTGGGTGGGGGTTACCAGTTGCAGTTTTTCAGCTCCTGGAGCTGTTCACTCTCTCGTGTAACAGACGCCTGGTAAACTAACTATTCAGCACATAATGAGTGGGGCTTGAGCTCCTGCTCTGTCAGCCTGAGTTGTCTACACTTGTTTTACACGTGTAAAACTATTGTCAGATTGAATCAGTAGATGTTGTGGGTTGTGTTGAAGTGTCAACATGCTAAAAACACAGTTTGTTGAACTACGTTTCATTGTGTTTAGTTGTTTTGACAATTGGAGTTCTGAATAGTTCCAGTATGAGGATGCATTTAGATATTTGATACCATTTTTCCCTTTCTGATACCTGGAGTTTCTGAATCTTTAACAGTTGTTTTGTACTTACCCCTCTAAACTGAAGTCTTACATATTATACATGTCGCTGTTTTACATGTGGAACCTTCCATCTTCTTCTGCCAGTGGCAGTGTGACTTTACTGCTGTTTTGTGTACTTTAAAGACATTTTATCGGATTGGTACATAGTTTTGCTTATTTGCCGATGCCCGACTCAAAGATGGTGATTATGTTTAAAAATTATATTTTCAAGTTTGCTGTAACTTTAAATACTTGTACTGAAGTAGTTGAATTCTTTACGACGCTGAAGTGCAGATGTAATACACATTTCCTCTATAAACTGTTGCCTGGAGTGGTGGTCCTTCCCAAGCTGCTTTTACCGAGCCCTCGCCTGAAGTGGTGCTGATGACGCAGAGGTCAGATATGTTGCCACTGAGCTGTGGAGAGGTCTCAGATTCTGTTACACAATACACACACACACACACACAGACCTGCAGGGCTGTAATTTCTCTTCCCCAAGCTTTCCACACCAAAATGTTTTGTCTCCTCTCTTCAACATATAGTTTAGCTGTGGTTGTTCCTAAATAGAGAATAACACAGACTCTAAAAACATTGTTGGTGGTCTGGACCTTGTGTGACTGTGTGTGTGTGTCAGCAGTAGTTGGATTAAATTTAAAGACTGTATTTAAGAAATAAAAAAGGATTAGATTTAATCAGATTTCAATTGAGATTTAGAACAGAAGAGGTTTTGGTTATTTTTTCAGGCCAACCATAGAGAGTAGATTCATCTCCTGCATGAACATATAGTCTGTATTTAGTCTTTGAGTCTAAACCATTATTATTGGATACACAAGAATCATTGTCAACTTCAATAATAGATTTTATGAATCAAATGAGTTGATATTTGTGATTGATTCCTGCTTGATGTTATCTATCCAAACATTTTCTGTATATATGATTTTTTATTGAAAAGCATTTTAAACCTCTTAAATCTCTATAAACACAATCTGCATGTGAATGTGCAGAATCTGTAGGTGAGGGGCACGATTTTGCAGCTGGAAGCTTTCTGGTGTCTGTTTCTAGTTTGACAGAAACCGGACATTTGAGCAGGCTGTAGTTGCCCACAGTCTGTGTGGAGAGATAGCTGTTAATAGAGATTACCCAAAATGTTGCTGGGACCTAAAACACCCACCAAAAAGAATCACTGTTGATGTTTTTTGTGTGAAATATTCAACTTGTTTGATTTTGGTCGGGCTGGTCTACACCGGAAGCCCCAAAATATGCCTGTTGCCTCCAGAGGCTAATTCTTCGTCAGGCGATAGCCGATGGGCTCCTTGATGAAAACATCTTGAACTCTATTTTCTCCTTAGAATTTCTCCCATTCCTTTCTTTAGAATTAGATGAGAATATTTTCCTAACATAGTTCCATGGATTTGAATGAATCTTGATTGAGTTTCTGAACACACCGTAGTGTCAGAGTCTAAAGTTACTGTGTTTGTGCACCTGATTCTTAGAAAGACAGAAGCTGCACCGTGTCCACTTTGGACAATTTCTCTGCTTTACACCATGTAATCACTGCATGAAGACTTTAAGCCCACCATGATGGATGTGTTAACTTGCAGTCTGGTTGCAGCTGTAAGAACCCCCCCCCCCTTTGTGCACTCAGCTGATAGTAAATACCAGAAAAGC